CGATGGCTTATGTTCAAAAACTTATTGTAATATTATTCTCAAGCCATTTTGGTATATTGGGTAGCTTCGTTCTACCTTCTGTAATTGTGCCGTGGATTCAACCTATTCCAAACTTCCTGCTTTGTTGTGCAGATAAGTTTATTACATTTGTAGAATACAAGATACCATTTTATTAATATTCAAAGATCCCAATATCCTGTATAGACGTCTTTAAAAAGGCTCTTGCATTCAAGATCTTCGATAAGGGCATAAATAATCACTTTACCATTATAAGCATTTTATTGAAATTCAATTATTTTCAACTGTTTCCTCTATTGATCTTTAGTTTCTCTTTCTCTTAAGACTGGCCAAAATTTATTAAATACATCAACGTTATTTCGAATTGTCAAACTAATTCAAAGCTATTTATAATACCTTCAAGTTTCTTCACATTGCAAAATGGGTTTCCGATTTATCTTAAACAAGATCGTCATCACACAACAAAGACAAATAACCTACGTTACATTTCAACCGATCGTATCAATTGTACGAAATCTGTTTAATGTGCTTCATTTCGTTTGTTAATGAGATACTTATCGACATAATACCATACCGAACATTATTACAAATGCTGTAGTTTTTTTTTTGTGCCGACTGCGACCTTCGCTCCACTGAAGGTAAATTGAAATTGAACATGCAAAATGCAAACTTAAATTGATTTTCGTTTGAGATAGCTACTATGCATTTAGTCAGAAATCGTAAAAAACGCATTTCGTTGTTGCGTGTAATAATTAAATTGATTTAAGTAGGTAAATATTAACATTTACTTACTGGCCATTACAGTGGCGCCAATATTGCAATGTTTGTTAAGTAGAATGCAAAAAAAAAGGAAATTGTATCGATTTAAATACAGTATCCCAAGTAATAAACGACAGATGGTTGAAAATGTTTAAATGTTTTACTGTATTCAAATCGAATTTAACGTCAAGAATGCACATAAACTTGTAAATATTTAACCTAATGTACATACTTAGTTTATCTTAACGTTACATACATATTTTCATCCATATTTCATATTTATTATTTTTCTTGCAAACACCCATAGCCTTTCTAGGTACATAATTTTTTACTGTTCTTCGGATCCCCTTTTGGTTGTGTGTGTATACATAAACAAACATCCTGGTTTGGGTGTATATCCTGGTTTGGGTGTATACATAGTCTAATTATTACCCAGCAAACCCCAGGTGATTTGACTCTATAGTACTACGAGTGTTAAATTCGATATGACGTTCTGTAATTTAATTCCATTTCTTGATATACATTAGGTATACACTTTTTATACCCTCCACCATACATACATACATAGTATGGAGAAGCTAATGAATGAAGCTAAAATTTTGCACATATTTGTCTTTTGTCTGCAGATAGGTAAAGTTCGAAAATGGGCTATATCGGTCCACGATATCGCATAGCCCCCCTATATAGCGGTACCCACCGATATTCGGTTATTTTACCCACATTTTTCAATGGAATTATTTGGAATTCTACACAAGGAATTCTTTATGAATACATACCCCCTGAAGGAGAATTGGCTATATAGGTCCACGATTTCGTATAGCCCCCATATAACGGTACCCCCAATATTCGGTATTTTGATGATTTTAGCCACATTTTTCAATGAACAAGAAGTTCCTTGTGAGTACTTTATTTCCTAGAAGAGTATTGTCTATATAGATCCCCGATATCGTATAGCCCCATATAACGGTATCCACCGATATTCGGTATTTTGATGATTTCGAACAATTTTTTAATGGAATTGTCTTAAAATCCACACAGAGGGTTCCTTCTGAGTACTTTACCCCCTCGAAGAGAATTATCTAAATAGCTTCACTTTTCAGTATAGCGCCCATACAACGGTACCTCTAGATAGTCGGTATTTTCATGATTTTTGCGGAGATTTTACCGGAGTTGTTTCAAATTTCGTATATAAAGTTCGGAACACTTAATACAGGCTATGACACAAATTACTTATGCAGGATCACGTCTTCGTATAGCCCCCATATAACGGTTTTCAAATTTCGTATATAAAGTTCGGAACACTTACTACAGCCTATGACAAATTACTTATGCAGGATTACGTCTTCGTATAGCTAGAAGTTGCAAACTCTCAGTTAAAGAACTGTTAATATTTCTCTTTCTGGAACTGATCTCTTTTGCGAAACTTTTGTGTTAAGAGATGACTTCCAGTAACGATTTGGAACAATTGTTATAAATTTTAGGGTAACCAGACAGTAGTAACCATTGCACAACCAGACCTCGAAGGGCATTGAAATAATTCAACTCTATAGCAGAGTCTTATTATGTCCATTAGTCTTCTAAAGCAACCAACATCTGGTTTTGTTTATTTCAAAATTTTCTTAAATTGGGAAAAAACACAAAAAATGAGTGAAATGCAGGATTTTTCCTAAATAAATTTAAAAGGAGGAAAATGTTGTTATCTCAAAGTATGAATTTTCGTTACAACTGAATTTGAAATAATTTTTATTTGTTTTTTTTTTTTTTTTTTTCTTTATAGTTGTGATTTCTCTCTGCATGGACAATAACAGTTTTTCAATGAAATGATGTGTTGGTTGTAATTGGATTAAATATCAGGAAAAACTAAATTAAAACTGGTGTTGATAATGCATTTTGATGCGTCATAAATTTAACTTTTTTTACTATGACGATAAAATAAATTAAATATAACTTATTCTAAAATTTGGTGCTGTTTCCGACATTTTTTGCTTACATTCAATAAAATTTAAAAAACAATGTCAAAATTATGGCGTTTGACTTTGATGCATATGTATATCTAAATTTGCACCGATTCTTAACAATCGAAATAAGTTGTTAAAAATGTCATCCCAATTGGACAATTAATGCGACCTGGGCCTCAATTCTTGTTCTATGAAAATGTGAAATGAAAACTGTTGTAAAGGAAAGAAATGTCAAATGAAAAATTTTAAGGAAATATTTTTAATTTCATATTTTCATAGAACAAGAATCCAGTACCTGTACTTTGTTTACAAATTAGTGTTTTACATGGACAGACTGACAGATGGACGGATTGACTCAGAATGTGATTCACTGAGGACTATCAAAAAGAGCTATGGATCTATTTCGTTTCCTTCTGCATATTACCAACAAATGCACAAACACATAATACCCTGTACTATTTATTGCCTGGCGTCGGGTATAAAAAGTGGAATTAGTATCATATTTATGCGACACTTTATTAAGAAAAGTGTTAAAGTAAAAAAAAAAACGAAGTAACTATCTATCGCATCGCACAATGTAACTATCTTTTCATTTTCCTAATCAAACTTCAAACTTACCCACAAACATTTTTAGCTTTGTCATTTGCACTATTTATTATTTATTATGACAAAATGTAATATATTGTTGCAGTCTTATTAAAAACACAAATGAACGTAACTTAAAAACAAAAATGCATTTTTACTTTCACTATCCTCAGCATAGATCAATTTTTAACTATTAACTGGTGGTTCCATACTGGGCTAAATAAAAATCGAGCACCCTTAAGAATTGCAGAGGGCATTTTTTGCTCCAGCCAGGAAAAAGTCAACATTCTGTTAAAAGCCAAATATTGATTAAAGATAATGCTCGGCTGATTTATTATGTCCTCCACTTGTGTTTTTCACACTACCTACATCCCGAAATACACTTTGCATCTAGGACAGTACCAATTAAACATTTCCCTAGGAATATTCGCCTTCCTTCATATAAAGTGAATACGATCAAAATGCGATTATGTCTTTCGGTGTGTGTGGTCCAGTGTCATAGTATAAACCCAGTTAGCATGTAGATTCTACACCTGATCTTCCACCATTAAAATGAGGGTATCTTGTTTCGTAGGTAAGATTAATACTTAAAGCTTTCTGTATTTTGGACAATTATTAAATTTGCAGGTCAACATTAATATTTCCGAAAAGAATATAGTTAATCATTTATTTGAAACTCTCTTGTTATAGTGAAATAAAATATGGGTGTATATTTGCCAAAAAGTAAAAGGACTTCAAAATACTTGATTTTATTTAGTGCAGTGCCAAAGATGACACTTTCACTTCGTGTTATATCGTTGTTTTATGTACAGAAGTGAAGTCAAAGTTATTATGAATATCGAAGTAGATGTCAAAGAACTTCCATAATATTTAAATAACCCATGAATACTTCCATTATCATGTAATGAGTTTCCTTCACAACTTTTTGGCAATCTTAGCTACTTACAAATCAATGTGGCGCCAATTTACTTGTACTCGTAATAAAAAGAACAAAATATTTTTTTGATCCACTTTTGCTACTTTTTGATTTGTAGTAAACCACTTTATTCACTGTTGGGGAAATGTAGAGATTTTTAAAAGTAAGCTTAGACTATACACATATATCACGGTAAGCCGTTATCTCAATTTATACATATATCCATCTCCCACAACATTCTATGCCTTCGCTTAAATTTATAAATTTTAAATTAAATATCTATATTCAAGTGCGAATTCAATTTCATATAAAAATCTGCATACAAGCTTCAGTATCCTGCCTGGCATTCACAGGCTCGGATAAGTAAGTTTAGCTGTGAAAGATATTTGTAAAATTAAAATTTATTATCAGCCATGATAGGATCCCCTAGAAGAGACCACCCCTTACGCCCATTAAAAAATGTCTTGACATCTTTGGCCGGGACACGATTCGTCTGTCGTTACTGGCAACGCGAACCATCAAACATTCTCAAATACACACAACAATTTTCTATGACAAACCATAACTTTTGTCCCACTGTTTGCTGAGCGTCACCATTTAACGTGCCCAGAATTTGATAAGAAAATCAAAAGAAAGAGAAACAGAGAAAGCCGGTTGAGCGACAATAGATGAGTCGTGGTTTTGCATTCAGCGGCAATGACGGATTGATTTGCCTTCATTATAATCGCAATGCAACAACATGTATTGCCTGTGCTACCGCTGCCGCCGGCAAAGAACGCACGACGCTGTTACGTCGCTTCGAAACATACAAACAATTTGAGTAAAGTCAAACTCTGAGCGAGCTGACAGACGATCGTGTCAACACGACCCATAGTTTTATTTTATATGGGGTCTCAAAACACAAACTCAATCCCGTATTGAAAACACATTCAGTCGATTAGGGGCGTTTAAATGAAACAGAACGCGCTACCGCAGAGACATCGCAACAGACGTTTGTTGTTCGCCATACAAACGTTTTATTTATATATTTTTCATTGCAAATGTTTTGAACTTTTAATCAAATGATAATTGAAAGAAAATAAGAAAACAAAATAAATATTACGAGAAACATAACAACAAGCTATGCAGATACAAAACAAAAGCTTACACTTGAACGCAAAACTGAATGCAAATTTAAGAAAAAACAAATAAGAGAACAAATCAGAAGAAGAAGAAGAAGATCGCTAAACAAAATCAATTAAAGGAAAGTGCAATCAATAACTGTTCAATCAATTGATTGATAAAATGATTAAGTGAATGTTTGTGTGTAATGAAAATAACAACCGAGCAAAAAGAAAAGAAAAACAACAAACACTTTCTTCTGCTCTCAATGAAGAAATATGGTCCACGAAGCTGACCTCTAACAACCGGCATTTGCTATCAATCGTTTTCCCTCGTCGAAGGTTCTGCATCCATTCTCGATACGCGACAAACCTCCGACACTCGGACTGTGTTCGAAACGAACAAAACAACACCGAGCCACCAAATGTTTAACAATTAATCTGCATTAATTAATGTCGATTGATTAATTAAGAGAAATAAAGTTTTTGATTTTTCGGTTATATTTGTGTGCAGAGTTTGTGTCCCTCGGTTGAAAACCAGAAATAACTAATTCCGAGAATGTTTCGATTTTCGGTTTTCATATATTAACGTTATTTTTTGTGACGTTTAAAGAAGTAAACAAAATAAACCATAATTTTAATGGTCGTGTGTGTGCGTGTATTCATGCTAACATACATACATGCATAGCTGTATCAGCCCGCGTCCAGTGTCATTTGGAAGTTAATTCGAGGCACGTTTCGAATCAAAGGTAACTAACCATAAGCTTAACACTTGTTTTGATTGTTATTCACTCATTTTTTTAATTTTTTTCGGGGGATTTTTTCTGTTTTTGAATCGTTTGTATATCCATGATATAGATATTTTATGTAGGAGTTGTCAAAAGTTAATACAAATTGAACGGAAACAAATATTATTGTGATATTTTGATATATTTCAATGAAGTTCTATATTATGATTTTACCCTCCATCATACATTTAAGGTTACCCAAAGCATATATATTCATGATCAGAATAAGATTTTAAGCCTATTTCGCCATTTCTGTCCGTGTGTCTATCAATCACTCTAGCTTCCAAACAAAATGAAGTACGTTAATAATAATAGGCCACAGAAGGTAAAGTCAATCATCAGCATACCAATGACCGAAAGTAAAGGTTATGTGGGTGCTATAGGAACACGAGGACATGTATAGAAAGTTGTCTTTTACAGTGCTTAGCATCTATTGAGAACATTAAACATCAAATCTGAAAGCCTTTCTTTGAAAAATGTGGCGAAAATAATTGAAATACTGAGAAGCTAGTGATACCGTTACTTAGGTGCTATACCAAAAGGCCATGTCCTTCTTCTAATTTTAAGTCGATTTAGTGATGTCCGTCTGCCTGTGTGTCTGTCGGTTTTAATCGCGATATCTTTTGAACCAATTGAGATAGAAGGCTAAAATTTTGCACACATGAGTATTTTTCCAGTAGACAGGTTAGGTTCGTAAATGGGCCATGGTTGTCCACGTTATCGTATAGCCCACATATAACGGTACTTCCCAAGATATAGATATAGCTCTAAGCTATTTTCATGGTCTCGGCCTCTTTTTTAATCTTTCTTTCTTTTGCCTTATTTGGCATTTTTGTTTCTATTAGGTAGAAAACCTCTTCTCATGAAATTTTGAATTTTCGGAGTAGGGCCCATCTAAATCTTGACCACATTCATCACTTGATTTGTCTAAAAAATTGTATTTAGGCTACTCTGGGGTAGAGAACTATCTTACAGATAATTGTCCACATAGGCATTTTTTTAAGTATAGTCCCCACATTAGTGTACCCCAAAGTCCACTTTCCCAACCAATGTGTGGTGAGAAAAAAAAATATTTTGTATTCTATTGAATTTTTATTCCCCAAGAGAATATTTGTTGGGAACTTAGATTTGGGATGTACGTCATGAAAAAAATATTGGTAATTGGAATATTGGTAATAGCACCGAACCGAACATTTGTTTAATCGTCATTGAATTATGACCATGATGAAAAATGTGGACAATTTAAATGACAACAAAATTAATTCCCATCTTACGGTAATGGATGTAAAAGAGTAATTTTCTTTGACCATTCTGAAATCATTCTGCCCTCAATTATGAGGTGGACAAAACTAAATACCACGCAGCACGCTATTCTAAACGTTGTAAATACAAAATCCAAATTACATCTCATTTAAATGGAAAATTTTGCTAAGCTCTACGATACCAAAAATTGAGCTGAGTTTTCACATGGGGCTATAATAGATGTTCCATATCATATAGGTTTTTAACACTCCAACTAAAGCCTATGGCTGAAAAATAAGATCAGGCTATTCAAAATACTGAAAACCGAGGTGGGTGAATATCTATTATAATTTTTGCCATGAATATTTATTACTATTTAGAGATTACTATGGAGTCATTATATAATTTTGCCGGTTACATAAGTCAGACCTGTGATTTATTATGCGTTAAAAATATGCATTAAAGGCTAAAAGTACGGGCCGAGCCAGCTAGTGTTAAATAAATCCATACCAAATTAAATGAAATTATTGTTTAACATTGGCTTAGCAGATAAAGACCGTGACTTATATCAACTGTTTCTCAAAGATATATTCCACGCACTGATGGAGCGAAAGGTATAAAATTTCTGTCAATTTCATTGATAAATGCTAGGGCTACAAAAATTCATCTTTGAGTTCTTCTATATATCTGACCTCATAACGTTGGACTTTGTCAACATATTATGCCAATTCGGTTGGAAAATCTAACTAAGGCATATCGTAATCCATGCGACCACTATAACAACTACATGCGTAAAAAGAATATTTTAAACCTCCCCCTTTTTTGAATATGAGTTCCGTTTTCAAATCACCAGGGTCATTGCAATTAGTTAGCGAATTATGTAGATAATATAACAATACAATTAAGATCGCATCAAAATCTATTGTTAATTTTATATTTATTGTAATTTTTTGTGAGATTAATGACGTCAAGATTATTAGAGGCAAATTTCGTTGTCAGACGAGAAAAAACGTTAAAGTGAGTGACTGCATTAGTCATAACAATGAATGTATCAAAACTTTCTATGTATATTCAACCGATTAGTATGATTGTGTCCCAATAAAAGTGTACTACCATCATTACTAAATGTAATTTTACATTGAACTCGCAATAACCATATATTCTCACAATTAAAAAAGCTCTGCTTTCCCAAAAAATCACAATAGTTCGACACCACAAATAGTTTTGAGTTTGTAACGAGTTGAATAACACTTTATCAAACATTTAGTATTGGACTAATTTTGACATATCCTCAGCAAATGTATCAATTTGTTCCTAATGATATACGTCAGGGACATCTAACGTTCTAGTCCCCACTTTATTGTTTCCCAACTGAAAGGACACATAATGATGAGACACGTGCTTTGTTAAATCGATATTTATTGTACGTACACTGAGGGAAAAATCCCGTTGCGAAATCAAGCACGTATGTTGTCATTTTCGCAACGACCCGTTGTTATATTTTTCAACAACGGCTGTTGGTGAATTGTGCACGAACGTGCTCAAATTGACACCGAGACGTGGTCAACTTTCGGTACCAACAACAGCCGTGCTTAATTTGTCCATTTGTAATATTGGTAATTGCAGCCGATTACACACGAGTAAAAAATGACAACGGTGGTGCATGATTCACACACGGTCGTTGTCAATATGACACCGGTCGTGTATGAATTATGCACCACCACCTGCATAATGATGCACCACCGTTGTTACTTTGTACACCGACGTGCATGAATCGTACACGATCGTTGCCATTTTAGCAACTACCGTGTATGAATCATGCACCACCGTTGTCATTTTTTTTACTCGTGTGCAATCGGCTGCATATTTACCATTTTTTCCGTGTTATTGAAAGAGAAAGGACGCATTGTGCAAAAAATTTATTGAAAATGAATAATAATTCGCAAGATCCTCAAAATATCATTGGTGAGTTGTTAGAAATCGATGGCAATATTGTTGTGGTTCGCGATACAAACCATTGCAGCAGTCAAGATGCGGAAAACAATGAGGACGATTATATGTTAAGGGAGTTCTTAAAAGGAATAAATATGGAGTCGCTTTTTGAACAATTAAAAGGTAAGTAAATAAAAATGAATTTTTCAGTTAATCAGTGTAATTAACAAAGAATTTTCTTTTTTGTTCTTTTAGCATCACATGTAACATTTCGCAGCTTGCAGTACTTGAAAAAAGAAGATTTAAAGGAAGCAGTGCCACCATTGGGACTGCGTGTTGAATTCAGAGAAAAGCTCTTTGCTTGGAAAAAACGAAAGGTACGTATTATTTGTTTTACAGAGTTGAACTCAGTATTAATATTGTCATAACAATAGCTCGGGATTGATGACGAAACTATGTCAGTTCCATCTAAAATAGGTGAATGGTGGAAACGCAACGAGACACCTGCAAGTACTCCTGGTACTCCCGACACTACAGGTTCGAACTGCTCAAAAGCCAAAGGAATTTTGTCAGAGGTAAGGTAAGAGTAATATTTGTGTAAGCATAGTTAATGTAGTTTTTTTATTTAATATAGGATCTAACGGAATTGTTAACACATACCTCGAAGGGGAAACTAGCGCTTGAATGTAGTAGCGTTAATAAGAAATTAAGTGACGAGCAAAGAGATGATATAATTAATATAATTATTGAAGATATTTTAACCAACAATGTTACTCTTTACACTCAAGACTATATGCGCATATTGGATGAAATTTGTTCCGTTTTTCCTCTTGAAAACGAAATGAGGGTAAGATTAACAATATAAACAACGTATCTGATTATGTAGTTTCTTAACTTATAATATGTCTTTATTTTTAGGATTATTATTACATTTCAAGAAAAGGAAAGAACAACGCAAGCGGAAAACTTTATGCCAAGTATAGAAACAAGAAGTCCAAAAGAATAAAGCTTTTGATTTCCGAGCCTAGCACAAGCAAAGCAGCAACTCACACATCTCCTAATTTTTGTAACAAAGATGTTCCCGAAATTGATGAATCAGTTGAAAATTCATTGAAAGCTTCCTTACTAAGAGAATGTAATGATTGGGGATCGATCTGCGAAAAATGGAAAAGATCTTTTAACATACGGCAAAGAGATATAAAAAATTTAAGTAGCCATACATTTCTCCTTGAATGGACGAAGTTGTCCGATGCAAGAGCTTCAGAATTGGTAAGTAGCCATGAGCTATTTATTTGTATATGGATACTAATGTTTCGTTTTTATAATATTATTACAAATAATCGATTTACTTTTAAGACCAAGTTATATAGAAGACGATTTAATAAAATTGGAAGAATTAATTAGAGATCACCATTCACTTTATATAACATTATACGGTTCGTTAAAACCGAAACACCACTTTCTTGTCCACTATCCCACAGCTATCCGAAAATGTGGTCCCCTTAAATATCTCTGGAGCATGAGATTCGAAGCTAAACACAAGGAAGCAAAAGCCTATTTAGGAAATACTACATCAAGAGTAAATCCCTGTCGTTCATTATCTATTAAGTCTGGATTGAAATTTTCCAATTTTTTATTAAAACACGAAGATAACTTAGAACCAAATGTTATCATTAATACGCATACCATCGAAGATTTGGCAAAAGAGGAATATTGTTACAAAAAAAGTAAGCCAGTTTTAAATTACCAAAATTGCAAAGTGTCTGATGACATTTTTTTTAAGGGAA